CTGTCACTGTGGCTATTATTAAATGGATAACGCTATGGCTCCCATCCTCAGGAAGGTAAGCCAGACATCTGAGCTGTCAATACAAATACACAGAGCAAAGAGTCATGAGACATCTTAGCCTGTCCACCCATCCCGGTCCCCTCTAATGGAAACAGCACTATTCTTACTAGAGGAACACAGACCCTATCAGCACTGAGGCCAGTTCCCTGAAGACATTTGATTGTGAGAAAATAGCAATGTCCTTGCTTTGCCAGGGTTGGAACTTTTCTTCGACTTGGGAAAAGCAAGCAGTGAAAGGTGCAGCCATTTGCTGTCCCAATGCACAGCCTCACATAAAGTGTGAAAAGGGAGGTGGTGATGAGGAACGCTTTATGACAGGAAAGAGAGGAATTTACGGGACCAACCTCAGGAGGATGTGCAGGCTGCTTTAGGCAATTGGCTAAACACGAACCGTTGCCAGCATTAGGAACGCCTTACGCAGTATCAGAGGGGAGGCAGCCTGCCCACTGGAATCCGAACTGTGGCCACTTCAGCAGGTCTCATCTGGTTCCCTGCTATCCCCATGAGAGATTAAACCTGAGCCAACTAAAAAGAAACCTCTGAAAAACCCAAGAGGACACTTGTAGTTCAGAACCACTCACAGGCTCTTGGAATTATAAACACGTCACATTGTACTTCGAGATTATAGATGGCCTTACTTGATTCTCTAATTATGTTTTGCTTCTCCCAATTGGACTACAAACTCTGAGGTCAGGTCTGGAATATTTCTCATATCATCTCTAGAATATCAGTCATGGACTGGACACAAGACAGCAACACACATAGTAAAGTTCAGGGAACGACTGATTGCCTACCAATACTGGACTCACATCACATTTTTCCCTAAGAAATTTCCCTTGGGAGAACTCACGATACTTCTTGAGCACTCACTCTATCCCCAGCACTTGGTTTTACAACCAAAGAGCCCAGTTTTCCCAAATAGCCATTTAGTTGTTTTCTTTAGATAGCTAAGTACTTACATGTGGAGGCATTGTCTGAAGAATGTTTCTAATTTTGTGTCACAGAATTTTTAATAAAAGTTATTATTAAATGTGCAAGTGTGAGTCATTATAACTTCCTGAGCTCTTAAAAGTAAACTGAATTCACAAGTCAGGGGAAAATTTATTTTTTAGCCTATATATATTATTTTTAGTTTAGAAAGTGTCACCACCAAACATGCTAGTAAAAGTAGCAGACGACTGGACTAACATTCTTCTTGCCTAAATGCTGGACTAATCTTGACCCAATAAATAGTGGCAATTTCAGTTTGGAGCCCTGTGTCATATAGAGAGATGAGCCAAGGGTAACTTCCCAACCATGCTCTTACGGTTGCCTCCCTCAATCTGCCTCCTTCCCCTACCCCCAAGTGACCTTGGGGAGGTCATCCAACATCTCATCTGTCTGTCTTATTTCAATGGGCAGCATATTGTAAGGCTGTGGACACAGACTTTGAAGCCTGATTAGCTGAGTTTAGTTTTAGTTTTACTAGCTGTGTGACCTTGGGAAAGTTACTTAACCACTCTGGGCTTATTTCCTATCATCAAGAAATGTAGATAACAACAGTTTCTGTCTCATAGAAATTATGAGTTATTTAATGTGAATGGCTTAGAATAGTGCCTGGAATGTATTAAGTGCTATAGAGCCCTTAGCTATTATTTGTTCATCAACAAGAAGGATAACATCTACATGATCTATTGTCATGATTTTTATAAGAACTGATATTAACAAAGAGTAAAAACTTTGTAAATTCTAGATAACTACTAGCTCTGCGAATTCTAGATAGATAAATTCTAAATATGAGCTTTACAGATTCTAGATAACTACTGTAAGCTCTTGTGTTTTGGGCAAGTAGGCCTATTAAGTGACACATCTGGCTTATAAACTGCTCTCTGGGTAACAGAGCCTAGAACCAAAGCCAGACGGGTCATACAGTGTCACAGTCTGGCACTAGTACCTTGGGCAATGAGCAAAATGCCTCCAGAACTGGTTAAACCCTACCCGCCACAACACTTTCGTCTACCTCAACCATCTCTGCTAAGACCAAATTCTGACACATTTGAATTGATCCCTCTGTTCAGTATCAGCTGCCCAGTTTGGTACAATGACAAAAAGCTGGTGGTTTAAGTTGAGGTTCATTCAGTTCATCCTAGATGGTCAAAAGCCACTGAGTTCACCAGAGGTGACTGGTTCTGTAGGTGGGATACGTGGAAGGAGGATGAAGTCTCTGACTCCTGTTGCGATCCACACCACCACTGTGGCTGGAGAACTTTATTTCCATTCTGGAGAATTTCAAATCTCCAGAAATAAAACACAAAATTCCCAGGAAGTGAAACATTATCTGTACTTCACCATGTAATCAAACAAAATTCAGCTGTACAGCCAGTCCTTATTCTTCACCCTCTCCAGGTCTAATTGTTTAGGACCTCTACCCAACAGCAGATGCTGGCTTCACACAGTCAGTGGCGTGATAAAACTCAGATCATGCCAGGCCACCTGCAGACGTTTTTAAAAAAAATTTTCACTGTTATAATCAATTATGTGATAAATGAAGGAATCTTTTTTTTTTTGAAACGGAGTTTCGCTCTTGTTACCCAGGCTGGAGTGCAATGGCGTGATCTCGGCTCACCGCAACCTCCGCCTCCTGGGTTCAGGCAATTCTCCTGCCTCAGCCTCCTGAGTAGCTGGGATTACAGGCACGCGCCACCATGCCTAGCTAATTTTTTGTAGTTTTAGTAGAGACGGGGTTTCACCATGTTGACCAGGATGGTCTTGATCTCTTGACCTCGTGATCCACCCGCCTCAGCCTCCCAAAGTGCTGGGATTACAGGCGTGAGCCACTGCGCCCGGCCAGGAATCTTTTTAACATGTTTGAATCTATGAATATTTTTATCATGTATTTTCACAGAGACGCAATCAAATCCAAGTGCCATGTTCCCATTTAAGAATTTCTACCAATGCTACTGCACTGGTGTTTGCATTTCTTGGTCGTGGAGACCAAAGGAGGCAGGCAGAGAGAACAAATTTCAAAATCCAGCCTTGGGCTGTTATTATATGACTTATTTCTCCAGCTAAAATGCAATCTCCATGAGGAGAGGTGACTCACTGCATTCACTTCTATATGTTTATATTTTGGGGTTCCTGTCGGTGCCTGATACAGTGCTTTGCAAATAGCAGGCCAATAATAAATGGCTGTTAATCTGAACCACAAATTCCTCCCTGACCATTGGGTTTGGCTGGGTTCTAAGACCCCAGTGAGGAAGGATTAGGGAGGATGTGGCAGGACTAGTCGGGAGCTGGGTGGATTTCTGGTTTGTGCTGGGATGCTGGCACTCATCTGGGACATCTGGGACCTTCCAACATGAAGCTTCTATTGCCTGCGGAGATCCCGTCTTGGGGGTGACCTAAGACCGGGACAGTATGCTTCGTGGCTCTCAAGTCCACCTCGGACCAGGTGTCAATCCTTCAAGACCAGTCTAGAACCAAACCGATTCCAGGAGATACCAATTTGACCTGCTTGGTGACTGCCTGCTCATGTTTGGCTTACGGATGAGATAAACCTTTGTTCCTTTTTTTTTTATTTTTAAGGAGAAGAATATTAAAAATTCCGTTGACTGCCCAAACCGGATTTACATGAATTTAACTGGCTACTACAGGACACAGTGAACTTTTGGAGTGGCTTCTGTCATTAAGACAGGGACTGTGAGCAGCTGGGTCAGCCAGGTTGGGCACTAGGCTTGTATCCCTGGCACTTGCTGATGGACACAGATTATTCCCTTTCTTCAGAGGCAGTAGGCATGGGGGAAGCGGGTCAGGCATGCTGGAATGCTGGTGCTATCTGGTGACTGTTCAGGAGAATTAGTCAAAGGGCAAGAAGAAAAACTGTCTTGTGTTAGAAAGCAGAGTCTGGTCTTAGCTCTGTCACCTTTCTGGGCCTCGGTTTCCTCATCTGTAAAATGATGGGAGGGGACACAATGATATTTCCTCCACATTTCTCACAGCAGACAATCACTATGTCTTCACATATTTCCTTCCCTGCCCAGTGCAGTGCTACTCAAAGTGTGGTCCACCAACTGCTGCTCATCTGCAAATTGGCGCTGACCCATGGTGAGGTAAAAGTTGAGATACAGAGTTTTTAGAAACTTTTATAACTATTTGACAGTATGACAAACTATCATACTGTCATACTATATGACAGTATACGTCTGCTGAATCTAATAAGAAAAACATGGGTTTCCATTTTATATGTATTTTGAAGTTTCATTTTTCTAGTAATTTACTTTTAATATATTTTATAAAAAAGTATTGGCCCTAAATGGAGAAAAAGAAAAAAGAAAACACACGTTGGTTTACCTCCACAGATAAATGAAGAGCTTGGGCTAGCACCCTTTCTTCCCATTTCTCTCCTGGGCTGACTTTGTCACTCTCAATTGAAGCTTCTCTGACTCCACAGCCTCTGCGTCCCTTCCTAGGCCAAGTCTCTCCTCTGTGCTCCAATGCTGCTCAGTGCATGCTTCTTAACGACAGCATTTCCTGCGCTGACTGTAATTCTTGGTTTCCCTGCAGGTCTTCTCCATGCCTATTTCAGCTCTCTAGTCCAAGAACAAGGTACCTGGCACAAGGCTGGGTGGCCAATTAAGTACTAACTGAACTGAACAAGCTCTGAGTTTCTCACCTTAAACTTTGGTTGCATTTCCTTTATCCACAAACCCCTTGACTGTAAAGTGTAAAGTTCTGTGCATGGTGGATGCTGAGGAAATGAGGAAGCAATGGTGAGAACTGCTTTCTGCATCTGGGGGTAAATCTTTTATGCTACCAATCCCATTGCGCTGTTCCTTTTCCAGCTCTCAATCTGGTCCTATTGTTACTATAAGTGTCAGCCTGGGCAACACAGTGAGACTCTGTCTCTACAAAAGAAAGTTTTTAAACTAGCTGGGTGTGGTGGTGTGTACCTGTAGTCCCAGCTACTTAGGAGCCTGAGGTGGGTGGATCATATGAACCCAGGAGTTTGAGGATATGATCATGACACTGCACTCCAGCCTGGGTGACAGAAAAAGACTCTGTTTCCAAATAAACGTACAAACACACTTATTAAAAAACCCAAAAAACAAAGAAAATTGGACTTGTAATTACAACAGCCAGTGACGATGTATGTGGCTGGTGATTAAAAATCCTTACAAACCAGACAAGACAAATTACTCCTGCACATCTTGCATAAAATTAAAAGGTCAGTCCAGGAAGAAAAGGAAGGATGAAATTTCTTAAGTTCTTCATCAAGCTGAAAAGCTCATTTGATGCTTTGGGTTTTTTAAAAAAGGCATTTCATAGAAAACTCCAAAGTCAGAAGAGATGGAATATTACATAGGAAACCATTTAAAAGCTCAGAAAATTCTTTAAGCCCAGATTAAAGAATACAATTCCCATCATATGGAATTCATTTCTTTTTGAAAGTCAGTAAGTCAAATTTTTTTTTTTTTTTAACCAGGAATTGGCTGGTTCCCTCTGTAAACACAGAGAAGGCAGTTTGGGCACGCGGTTCCAGAACCTCAGGCTTGTGAGTTCTACTCCTGAATTTTCCTGGATTTTCTCTCTGAGGCTGTGGAAAAATTCTCTTTCCCTCTCTGCTTCTGAGCCCTACTTAAAAAAAAAAAAAAAAAAAAAGGTCATGTGATCATCCACCCAGTTTCAGGATGTAGTATATGAAATCCTGTCCCCAGTGCTCCCTGAGTGCTTCTAATCCCCAGAGCCAGACAGCCTATGCTCACTTAGAGTTTGTAAAACACAAACAAGCACCAGAGACACGACAAGTGATACATTTTCCCATTAGAAAATGAACTCTATTTCTCAAATTAAGAAGCAATCAACTGATGGAAAAAAATTACCAAAATTCAAGATCTGAAAAATATGAACTATTTGAAAGTAGAATATTTCAACTGACTCGTCTAGGTAATACACAAGCTAGAGTTCCATCCACTCAGATAAAAAGTGCAATTTCTCTCTGAGTTTTACGGCCTTTCCATACAATGTTCTATCTGCCTACAGAGCCGGGTCCCGTTGATAGAGAAGTAAACCTGAGATTTTTGATCTGGGTTGCGTGACACATCCCTGACTAGGAAGGTGGTGCTATCTCTCCTGTAACTTTCCACTGATGCAAAGAAGGTCACAAGCACCAGGAAGCAGCAATGACAAGTCTGTGTGGGCAGAGGATCATGTGCCAAGGTGGAGCATGAGCTTCCTCTTCCACAAGAAGCATTTATGCCATCTTATTGACATACATCAGGGAGGCCGTGTGCCTTTGTAGTTTATGCCATAAAGGAGCCAAGCCTCCAAGCTATGGCTCTGGGGATGCCTTTTCTTTCTTATGTGGTTCAGGAGGCAAGGAGCTTCATTCACCCTACTAGACCCTCAGGGGAAAGGACCTGGAACCATCTGAGAGGCTCTGGCAGTTCTGGGTGGGGTCTTCCCCAGTCTGACTCCTAGCCGGCTGGAGCCAGGTGTGACAGGTGAGTGGCCTAGAAGGGTGCCCTTTGCCCTCCTAGGAGCCCCCAGGCAGGTTCTACAGTGGGCCTTCTAGAGGAGGCTCTGCAGCAGGCATTCACCCAGGACCATGGTCACCTGCCAGGCACTGGCTCTCAGCAGCAGGGCTCCAGGTTTCACAATTCTACATCTGAACCAAATGGAGACAGTTAATTATCCCACTTGCTTGTGTCATGGAAAACTCACCGGCTATGTGAAAAGGAAGAACTGATGCATAATACAAGCAGAGGCTCTACTTGAGTCATTAAACCAAAGTAAGTTGAGAGTTCACCATGTGGTGGCTCTATTATCAGGCAAATCCGAGGCCACTAAACACTGAAATCCTACCTAAGTCTCTCGCTACTCCTAAGTGTCTCCTCTGGAGGCTCTTCCTCCTCCACCCTCCCTTGTAGGGTAGATGGCTCCCTAAGGTTCTGTTCTTGGCTCTTGCCTAGGTTTTCTTTCAGCATTCCTGCTACACACCATATGGTACCTCTGTGCAAATTAGAATAAGGTGCTCCTTTCTCAGGACATCTAACTGCCACCTGCCAGAAAATCCACGGTTATTACACAAATCTATGACAGCTGGGATGCACTGGCACTCCCTTGGGCTGTTGAGGGCCCGAACTGCCCAGTTGTGTACAATTGCCCTGCTTGTCTCTCTACCTGTGCAGTTGAATCCCACAGGTTCAAGTATTCCCCCAGACAGATGGCTCCCAAATCTAAATCCCTATCCTGACACCTCTCTCTGGAGAGTCAGACCTCCATCTCTGATTGCTTTACGGGCAAAACTACCAGAGTATTTAACCCTTCAAACACAAATAATGGACAACCAGTAACCACCACGAAAAAAACTAAACTTTACCTCATTGCTGTCCCTATTCAGTTAAAAGCTCCTTCACGGGAAATTCTGGAGTCACTTTAATACCTATTCGTTGGTCCCCATCCACTTCATAGGACTCCCTTCAATGTAAATCACTCCCTCTCCTCTTTTCCTTTCTCTTCCCACCATTACTGTCTTGCCCCAAGCTGTGACTATTTCTTACCTGATCCAAAAGAAGACCTTCTAGTTGAACTCCTGGCTTCCAGCCTCAATCCTCTGTACTCTAACACACTGCATGTATTTCCTGTTTGTCTCTTTCTCAAAAACCTCTGATGGCTTCTATTGAAAGGCAAATAAAGCCTACACTTCCCTAGCCCAACATTCAAAACCTCCCAGGTTCTTACCCTCATCTACCTGCACTGCCACCTCTGCCCTGCGCCTTCCCCGGCTCTGGTCCTCTGGTCATACCAAATCCTCATGATTCCTTAGCACAGGACGCAATTCTGCCTCCATGCCTCTGTCCCTGTTGTTATGTCTACCTCGCATGGACTTCCCTATTTCACTGTTAACAGAAAGCTTGCACATCAGACTCGTGTCATCTCTTCAAAGCCACCACCAAACCTCTCCATCAGCATTCATAGCTGTGTTTGTTTGTTTGTTTGTTTGACGAAGCCTTGCTCACCCAGAGTGGAGTGCAGTGATGTGATTTTGGCTTACTGCAACAGGTTTAAGGGATCCTCCTGCCTCAGCCTCCCAAGTAGCTGGGATTACAGGTGCCCACCACCATGCCTGGCTATTTTTTTGTATTTTTAGTAGAGACAGGGTGTCACCATGTTGGCCAGGCTTGTCTCAAGCTCCCAACATTAAATGATCTACCCAACTTGGCCTCCCAAAATACTGGGATTACAGGCATGAGCCACCACACTAAGCCAACATTCACAGTTGCCTTTTCTGTGCTCTCATTGTATTGTGTTTGCATTTTACTGAGCATTTATGGTACCATATCTTACATCGTCAATTTATGTGTGTTTGGAACTCCCAGTAGACTAAATCCTAAGAGGAAAGTTCCTGATTTATCTTTTGATCTTCAGACGCAAAGACAGCACAAAGCAGGTGCCCAGGACCTGTTGAACCTGGTAACTTAATGGTGGAGAAGTCTTCATGGTCAAACAAAGCCCATAGATGACTTAACGATGGTCTCTGAGCCTGTGTATTTTCCAAAGTGCCAGCCAAAGAAGGGCTAACAAGTGTGTTTCAGTATGCCAGTCATAGGGTGAAGGGCATTGCCCAAACGAAAAAAGTCATTTAAGACACAAATACATATTTATGCTGTAGTTTACAATCTGCATCAAATGCAACTCCTGGAAACTGCAAACCCTGGCACCCTGGAGAGGCAATGGCAGGATTCAGGGGCCTCTTTCTGCAGTCCACTTCTGCCTCCACACAGCTCTCCAGATCCTGGACTGGCTCAGACCCAGCACCCAATGCTAACGATGCATTACAGGAATCTGAACATGCATCAGAATAACAGTCACCTTAGGGAAGGTAAGAACATGGATGGGAATCGAGTGAGGACCAATGGGATGCATACAAATCTACTTGATAGCATTGTCTTGAGAAAACAACAGAAAAAAACTTGACTGTAGGTTCCAACTGAGTAAAACAGTGTCTTCATGCTTCACTCTTCAAGATACATCTACAGAGTCAAGAAAGGTAGCCAAGAAAGACCATTTACAACACATGGCCTCATACACAAGATAAACTCAACCATCTTATCCACGTTTTTCATCTTTACCATATGTGATATTTGGACACCGAAACCCACACCTCTTATCTGAGACCAGATCCCCCAATTTCTGGAAAAGAAATGATGAGAAGCACAAAGATACCCGGATGGAAACTGGGGAGGGGTAGACTGACTGCTTTTCTGACGCAGTGGAAAATGCTGATGTCTGCACATACCACTGCACTTCATACATCCTCCTCCTGCAGAAGACTGACCCCAACAGACAAAAAAATGCGCTTTAAAATTTAACTGATCATTTTACTATCGAGGCTCTGTCTTGCTTTGCTTTCACTGTCTGTAAGATGGCCTTAATAATACTGTTAACAAAGCCACCCTCTATCCCTGTGCCTAGAGAGGAAACCATTCCTCTGTCACTGCCTAGAGGGGAACACAGCTCTAAACCCTGCATTGCTTTGATTCTATGATCCGTGCCGCTCCTCCCCTTTAATGCTTCTGAAACAGGGATGTTCCTTAAAACTAATGGCCAAAAAAATTTGCCAGCTGCTGGCACAGTTGTTTTAATCAAATCAGCAATCATGGGCATTTTGTGACCTGGGGTGTTTTTGAATCAGAGAAATACAGTAGCTTTTATCATGTCAATTGCCATGTTAATTGTCATGTTAAAGGTTGGGGAGCCAAAGGGAAGAAGTTTTTTTTTAAAATAACTGCTTTATTAGGGAATAACTGACAAACAAAAAACTGTAGGTGTTTAATGTATACAACATGATCTGTTTGGAGAGGTGTATACCTGTAAAATCATCACTAAAGTCAGTGTAATAAACATATACATCATCTTCAAAGGCCTTCTCCTGTCTCCTTTGTGTTTTTTTCCTTGGTGATAAGAGGCACTT